GGAAAAAAAAAAAAAAAAAAAAAAAAATTATATCAGAGGGAATTTTTTATTTTTTTGTATGAGAGCTCACCTGAATAATTTTATTGGTATCATCACAAAATGCTGTGAAGATATTTATGTAAAAACATATAAAAAAGGTAAATAATCTCAAACAACTTACGCCCTCAGCATCATCTGATTTTCTTAGTGCTCCAACCACATCAACCAATTGTGAGAACTTTCTTTTCAAATCTGAGTCATCATCTGTTAAGTCATAAGGCTGCAAGGAAGGTCCACTTGAAGTCTCAGAATCTTCACTTTCATAGTCACTGTCATCTTCATCAGTGACCGATTCATTATTTAGTGTTGCTGGATCAATAACTTCATCCGGATCCATTAATTTAAGTATAGATGGCTTCTTCTTTCTAGACTTCATCATATTATCATTTCCATCACCATCTGTCTCGCTAATCTCCTTTCCACATAGCATGGTAGGACTCTCATTTTTATTAGCCTTTTCATCCGCGTAATGCATCTTTGTTGCAAGAGAACCTTTGCTAGAGTTTGCTATCCCAAACTCCCAGTCAATCGTCTCTACCTGGCAACTATCATCAAGATACAGAGGATTTTGAGGGTCAATGATCTTAGAAAAAACACAAGCAATACTGCTTGCCATTTTGCGCACCAAATAAATAGGGCTCTCCAGCCTACCTGTTGGCAATTAGAAATGAAGTATGATCACTAACACTATCCAGTAACTTGAAAATAAAATTACAATGAAGAGCAAAAGCATCAAATCATACAACTAACTCCTTGAAGGATCAAGTGCAGTGCACCCTTTGTTGCACCTAGATCTTCTTTTGCCATCTTCTCCAAACAAAGCCCTAAAGCAGCAGTTACGTCTGAACACTAAATTAAGGATCCATGGGCAAAAATATAAGAAGGAATGCAGGAATAGAACTGAATACATCCAAAGCCCTTTGTTTTTTGTAACAAGAAAATGAAGCAGTTGATGAAAAACAATATGCATTATAAAATATAGATAATATAATAGCTCTCTGTATGAGAAAAGTTGTGATTGATTCTCTGAACCACAGTTTCCAAAATTAAAATTGAACAAGAAACATGCAAGGTATGCAGCCAGAGACTCCAAAATAATCTAACTCTTTTTGGTTACTATCATAGATATCGTATACCAAGAGAGATCACATGTTTGTTAAGAATAGATAAATGAATGAAAAGGATACAGGTTTGTTGCTCAGTTGGGGCTGATTGCACAAACTCGCGTTTGGACCATATTGCCACAAGACGCTGTACTGCGTCTGAGAGACCACTAGTATCATAAGATTTCACTTGAGAAGTGTTATCAGGGACACATTTGAACACAGCAAAGTGAAGAATCCACCTCAGGCAACAGATAGGAAATACTTTCCAGATTAAAAATTTTTCAACAAATGTAGACCTGAAAACACAAGAAGAAAAACAGCTTAAATTTACATAATATGTGATGCCGGACGAATAAAAAAATAGAAAGAAGAAGCAAGAAAGAGGGGAGAACCAGAGAGAATGGGGGGGAGAAACCGGAGAAGAAGCAAAAATTCACGGGGGAGAGAAAGGAGAA